TCTAAACGTATGTGAAATGCATATCGATGTAATTTCAATAATTAAAAATTACGCGGAAAAACAAATCTCTTTTCCACACTCTATATATTAAAAACTACAATTATTATCACGAATATAATTGTAGTTTTTGCTGAATATATATATAGATTGCTACAAGAAAATTAATTACATTCACATTTTTAAATACTATTAAAATTAAATTCTCTTCTATTCACGAACTCTATATCCTTTAAACTGTGTGTACTGTATCTCGAACTGTATACTTGCACGTACTTGAATAATTTCTTATAGAATTACGACTCGAAACGACACGAAATACTTCCGCCGATAAAAAATTTTCAAAAAATGGAAATTTACTCTTTTACTACATCCACGAATCCGCACGCCAAATTCTCAACTCCGTCCATTCCCCCGAAAACAGTTTTCCAACAAAGTTCATGTAATAACCGCTCGTCTCCATTTTCGCTCGCCTAACATACTTTCGCGACGAAACGATTAGCCGGTCGATCTATCCACGCTCTAAAAAACCAACCCACGTTAAAACTTCGTCCTCCCCTGAAATTATTACCCCTTTTCTCGCCGAGTTTTAGAACGAACGAGAAACAGATCTCGTGCAGTTTTCGAATTTTCACCAACGATCAACCAAATTTTTTCGGCCTCTCGATCGAGAGCAAGCATCGTAACGAATGTAGTAAGAGGCACGCGCTCGCTCGAAGACGATAAAGGGGACGTTTGGGCGCGTTTAATTTCGAATCTTAATGCGCAGGGATTACGGAACGGGACAATATGTAAGCGAATTGAAATTTCGAGCGAGCCGGATATGCGTGTAATGATAATTAAATCCTGTTGGTAGCGAGATCCGCTTCGAGATCGGGTATGTAGCATTTCCCAAATTGGTTCGAGTCTAAAGTTTCCAGATTGTTTCCCGGATAAAACAATTTCGATTATTTCGCGTGGAAGAGATATTGGAAAGTGCGAAATGCTTGTCGTTGTTAAATTGCCATCTGTGGAGGGAATTGGAGGGGGAGGAAACGAACGAACGAGAAATGTATAAAATTATGGATTAGCGTTTAGGCTGAGAATAATAAGGATTCAACAAGGATAATTAATTTGTGATGTTAGAGACGATAGACACGAGGTAATCATAAGCTATATCGGAATTAAATAATTCGACAGTGAATGAATCGTAATGGATACGAATGGCAGATGTTTTGGAAGAGAGTAGCTGTAATATTTTATATATCGTATGATAAATATTTTGTAAAAATTTAAAATATAAAGAAGTGAATTAAAAATGAATATTCTATGTTGTCTATTTTCGATCCGAAAATTTTCCTCGCAAAATTTTAACACTCTTTTTTAAATATTATCTATTTTCGATCAAAAGAAAAAAAAAAAACTTCTCTTGCCAAACAATATTAACGAAATTTTTATATTTATACGATTTTACGGGGAAAAAATTGGTAATTTCACAAAAATTAATTATTTTCAATGAAAAAACTTTTCTTGTCATGTAATATTAACGAAATTTCTCCAATTACACCATTTTGACGAAAAGAAAGCTGGCAATTTTACAAAAATTAATATCCATTCTATTCCAAAATTACCTATTTTCGGTTCAAAAAACTTTAACCGAACAACATTAACGAAATTTCTCCGATTACGAGAAAAAAAAAAAAACGATAATTTCTTAAAACTAACATTCCATTTCCAAAATTGAATACCCATTCTAAAAATTTTCCTTGCCAAATAAATATCAAAAGAACAAAGTTTCTTCGATTTCTCCGATTTTTTCTTCGAAAAAAAGAAAAAAAACTGATCTTACAAAAATTAATACCTATTCCATTCCCAAAGATTACCCATTTTCAGTGGCGAACCTCTCCTCGTCGGCAAAATTTCGTCGCATCGATATTCCATGTCCGCGAATCGAGCAATATTATTAACATCGATGGAATCAGTTTCTGTTGGAAAGGGGATAGGCGCAGTGATAACATCGGCCATGTTGCCGGGGACGCGTTACAAGATCGCATGCTTCAACGTACAAGCTCGGTCTAATCCTGTAACATCCCCTCACCAACTGTAATCCTGTATCCCGTTACCTGCTGCGGCCTCGAGATAACCGAGCAAGGAGAAAGAAATCGGTTCGATACTCGCGAGTAGTCTCATCACGTCTACGCTCTCCACGCAACGAGACGAGCAAACTCGGTCCAAATGAATTTCCCCTCCCAATTTCTAAGCGATTCGCGGGAATTCTAACTAACGGGAAACGACCGAGTTCAGTTTTCCATTCGCTCCAAGGAGGAGCAAATTACGGAGTGGAGTTTTGGTTAATTTAAAATTGATTTTTTTTTTTTTTTTATTGCTCTTGGCGAGCATGTGTATTTTTATAGAGAGTTTTAGTTTCATCTATCTTCTTGAAATTGAATATTTTTCGATTTCAATGTTTCGCCACTTTGAAATAAATTGTTTGTCGATTTACGATGATCGCAATTTCATGGAATTAAAAATCTTTTAAATCTCGAGACTCGTCTTGAAATTGTGCTACTCGTTCATGTGTGACGATAATTAAAATGATTAACTTTCGACAAGATATTTCTTTCGAATTAAAAAAGTCTCACGAAGTTTCCTTGTTTCGAAATTAAAAAAATATCGTAACAATTCACCTTCGCTTTATATTTTAAGAAGAAAACAATCACGATTCAATCTCAAGAATAACAAACACGGGATTAGCACGAAGAAATGGACGTCGTTCGCATTAATAGGGATTTCCTCCGTGTCTCTGTTTTCCGATTTGCCTAGAAGGAGGCATCCTTATTAAACACGGGGAAAAAAAAAAAAAAGAAAAACTTTAATCCCCTTTTTTACGTTTCAACGAAATACGAAAGCAAAAAGTCTCCATCTACCTATTCACGCTATTATCTAATCAACCAGTAATTATTTAATTCTCTTAAATATGCAATTCTCTATATTTGCTTCTAATTCTCGAGAAAAATTACATTTATGTTGCGAAGAATTAAAATTTTAACAAATCCTCATTTCTAGAATTCTTCAAGTTCGTAATCGATCGGTAGCTAACGATTGTTGAACATCTTTTTCCTCGCGAAAAATTTAATTTTTATGCGAATTACGTTTCAATTCGATTTTAAAAATTTTTAATCACAAAGATAAAAATAAAAAGTTTCGAGAATTCGAATCCATCTCTAATCGATGAAAATACTTAAAAAAAAAAAAAAATTTATCAATATTTAATGAAACAGAATCATCAAAAGTCTTGTCTTCGTTAGAATATCAAAAAAAAACAAAAATAAATTTTTTTTATTGCTCTTGGCGAGCATGTGTATTTTTATAGAGAGTTTTAGTTTCATCTATCTTCTTGAAATTGAATATTTTTCGATTTCAATGTTTCGCCACTTTGAAATAAATTGTTTGTCGATTTACGATGATCGCAATTTCATGGAATTAAAAATCTTTTAAATCTCGAGACTCGTCTTGAAATTGTGCTACTCGTTCATGTGTGACGATAATTAAAATGATTAACTTTCGACAAGATATTTCTTTCGAATTAAAAAAGTCTCACGAAGTTTCCTTGTTTCGAAATTAAAAAAAATATCGTAACAATTCACCTTCGCTTTATATTTTAAGAAGAAAACAATCACGATTCAATCTCAAGAATAACAAACACGGGATTAGCACGAAGAAATGGACGTCGTTCGCATTAATAGGGATTTCCTCCGTGTCTCTGTTTTCCGATTTGCCTAGAAGGAGGCATCCTTATTAAACACGGGGAAAAAAAAAAAAAGAAAAACTTTAATCCCCTTTTTTACGTTTCAACGAAATACGAAAGCAAAAAGTCTCCATCTACCTATTCACGCTATTATCTAATCAACCAGTAATTATTTAATTCTCTTAAATATGCAATTCTCTATATTTGCTTCTAATTCTCGAGAAAAATTACATTTATGTTGCGAAGAATTAAAATTTTAACAAATCCTCATTTCTAGAATTCTTCAAGTTCGTAATCGATCGGTAGCTAACGATTGTTGAACATCTTTTTCCTCGCGAAAAATTTAATTTTTATGCGAATTACGTTTCAATTCGATTTTAAAAATTTTTAATCACAAAGATAAAAATAAAAAGTTTCGAGAATTCGAATCCATCTCTAATCGATGAAAATACTTAAAAAAAAAAAAAAATTTATCAATATTTAATGAAACAGAATCATCAAAAGTCTTGTCTTCGTTAGAATATCAAAAAAAAACAAAAATAAATAAATAAATAAAATAAAAGAAAATTTAGAAACAATCATCGTTTAAATTAGTTAATACTAATTATAATTTCATCATGATTGAAAACGTTGATTGCTTTGAACACAACGCGCACAGCTGCCCTGAACAACCCAATTAGAATATTTTAATCCTATCCGTATATATGTATGATTAAATGGTCCATTAGCTATGATATCACGCACGAGATAATGACGGGTTATATATAATAGGGGATTAAGCAAATATATACCTTGGACGTAATTTATAACGCGAGCTGAACACCATCGATATAGATGGATCAATGGTTCTTCGATTTTGACGAATGTTTCGTGCGTAAATTTCAATGTATTACAATTTTTTTTTTTTTTCGTTTTGCGAAACAATTGTAAAAAATCTCTTGAGAAAGTGTACACAAAGTGAAATAATTAGAAATTAATTCGATACCATGCATTCTATTTCTACAAAATTGAATAAAAATAGAATTTGTTTACGCTATTCTGTGACGTAAGTGAAAATAGAAACGAAAAAAGATCTTATTCGAATTAACTCGATTCTATTGGTAAAAATTATTTAAAAATTATTATTTAATTTTAATTTAAACAAATATTATTCCGATGTAATCTTTCAAAGATAAAGAATATTAAACAATCTTTAATTACCCTACGATAATTATTTCCAAATTTAATCATCTAGATACAAGAATATTATTAATTACAACATCAATTATTTTATCACCGAACTCTAGAGAATTATTCCAATGTAATTTCAATCGATATAATTTGCACTCTCAAAATAAAGAATATTCCAATTTTAATCACTTCCTCTCGAACGATAATTATTTCCAAATTTAATCATTTAAATACAAAAACGTCATTGATTAAAATCGAACAGGAAATTATTTCCACGTCATCTCTAATTCCACGATCGTCACGGAATAACGGTTTCTACTTTGAAAATAAATGGACTCACCCTCGATACCAGATCCCTCGCAGCATCCAAGAGGCGACGCTTCTAAGATATCTCGCAGGAGAATATAGATGAGAAGTCGGATGCAGTGGTGGAACAAAGCTCGATCGAGTCGCGAATTTAGCCACGCCACGTTTCGTCGCGAAATATCACGCCACGTTTTGCTCGTATTCGAGCGCGAGAGAGAAACGTCCTACGAGGACGACGCTCGATATAAGACTGAACGACGCAAATACAAATTTTCGTACACAATTATTATTCGAACGACGAGTCTCGAAACGAACCACTGCCCTTTCCTTTGTTGACGGTAGACGAAAATTCTTGGAAAATTCTTGCTCACCGAATTTTCAGAATTTATCGTGGCGAGGAGTTGTTGTCGTGTTTGGAATCCTTGAGGTGGACAGTTTTTGCTCGCCTTCACTTTGTTCACGTTTAGATGTGCGATGAATTTGGTTGCGTTTATCTGTGAGAATATTAAATACTCGTATACGTAACGTAATTGACGAGATATATATACGTTTTAATTCGTTTTATGATTCTTTTTTTCGGATAAATGAAATATTGTTTTATCGCATAATTTCTTTTTAATAAATATAAATAATGAATATAACGATTAAATGTGATAATAAAAAAATTTTAGAGTGAATGAAAAACAATACAATTATACAATCTGATATTTTAATAATTTGAGAAGATATAATATGCAAGGGATATTTTGATTTTTGTTTCGTTTCGGAATAATTGAAATTTTTAAAACAAGAAAAATAATATAAAATTGGTAATATAAAAAATACGACTTTTGAAATATGAATTTTTAAATGACTAATTTTTCTAATTTAATATATTAAAATGTGAAAAAATTCGATAGAAAATGTTAACGGACGTTATTTTAAATATTTTAAATAAAAAATATTCCCCGTTATGTTTCATTATCCACTTTCTACCTCGTATTTCATTTTATTTCATCCGGACAGATAAATTATTAAACAATTTTTACTTCATAATTACTCGCATCACGAATTTCGTAAAAAAAAAAAAAAATTAACATTCACATAGTAATTATAAAAATTACGATATAAATCATTACATCTATAAAATGGAATTAAATAACAATTATTGTATCTTCAATAAAATCTAATGATACAATTTTCATTAAAATCAATAATCATTTCGAACAAATAACAGAGTCATTCTCAATATTTTCTTTACTTTCTTTCTTTCTTTTTCTAATAATTTACGATCGGTATTTCATTCGTAAATACTAAAATTTCATTTGACAAAAAAATTCGAACAAAATTTCCTTTCCTTCTTTTCAATAATTTACGTCGTTCGTTTACTAAAATTTCATTTGAAAATTCGAAACAAAACTTTCTTCCGTCCCATCAATCGCCTTTTCACAATAATCCACGATCGATTTCTTGCTCATTGTCGGACAATCCTCTTAAGCATCGTTCGAGATGGGAGTTCTCTTGATTTTCGCAAAGTAGAACGAACGATCTGTTTTCATTATCTTCATACTTGTACCCTTTCATCGGAGAGAAAACGTTGGCAAACAGATGACACGCGGCCGTGAATTCGCGCAAAGCGGATCAAGAATTGCTGTTTACCCGATCTACATCGATGTTTCAAATGGAATCTCGGCTCCGGGAAGATAATCCCTTTTAAAAGGTTTTCCAAATGCAATCTTTCGATCTTGTAATCTTGTAGCGTGGAGAGCAGTTGTGAAATTTATCCTCGTTTACGCCCAATTGCAAATATCGATTTCTTTCTCGCATCATTTTTCAGACTGAGTGATGTCAGTGTTGGAATTTCTCGCGTGTCGAAATAAAAAAGAAATCGAGAGATTGTGAGTTAAAGGGTTCGAAAGAAAAATTATCCCCGAAAAATTTTCTAATTGGAAAGACTTCGATGTGCACGATACTATCTCTCCTACTTGAAATATTTAATAATTCTTCCCCTCGAAATTTCTATTCCAATACCAACGACGCTCTTTTTGTTCGAAACGAATAGAAGAAACGAGAAGAAAATCGTATATCAACTTTTCAAAGAGTCATTTACAAAGAGAAGATTTCAATTGGCTTAATTTGGTTGCGTGAAAAATTCTTTAGATATTTGAATTTTTTCCATTTTTCTTGGAAACTACACTTCTCTTTCTGATAAATATTACAATTCTTAAAGGAATTTAATTAAAAGGGATTCGTTCCTTAAAATAATCTTTTGAAAAGATTATTCTAACGATTCAAAGATCCGTTGAACTGTCCAAATGTTTATAAATAATTTCGAGGAAAATATAGCTCGACAATTCGATGTATCGAATTAGGAGAAAAAAATCGTCTCGAATTCTCCGTTAGAACGAGCTGGTCGATTCAAATTACCACGATAAGGGATCTTAGCTAGCTGGTTACTGTAAATGTGGCAGCAATTTCGCGCGATTATCTTTCGCTCCTGCGAAATTATCCAAGTGGAAGGGGCGAGGGAGAGAGGCGTCTATGAGTTTAAAGGAGTCGAAAATGGAGGAGGACGAGCTGTTATCTGATTACGAGAGCGGCGTGTTTCAGCGCAATCAAACTTCTTAACTAGCTGTTCCCGCGATACGATCTCCGATTCAAAGGTTAAAAGTGTGATTCGCGCGAGAACGAAGTGAGAATACCGTGGAGAACGATTATATAAACGAGTTTCCATTCCTTTCCATCTTCGATTCTCGATCCCCGCAAACGTGATTCGTACGCGTTTAACGACGTATAAAACATTTCTTTGCTCTTTGTTTTCTGTTCGCGATACTCGCGATTGGATTGAATTTTCTTTCGAGATGTTTCAAATCAATTAGTTGAAATGTCTTTTTTTTTTTTCCTTTTAATCGATCATGTTTCGTATAAGTAAAATATTCCTGTAATTGAATTGAATTTTCTTTGAAAATTGAAGACGTTTCCATCCTCGATTCGAGTGGTGAAATGTCTTTGACTTTTTACATTTAACAGTTTTTTGCAAGTAAAATTATTCTTTGTTTATTACTTGTTATAATATAACATCGCTATCCTCAATTAGATTGAATTTATTTGAAAATCGAAGAGATTTCAAGCCTGGATCGGTAATGTTTCATAAGTGGTATCATAGTTGGTGTCTCGTGAGAATTTTGTGTCCTGTGTTTCCGTTTAACAAGTTTTTCTCAAGGATAAAAAATTGCTTAAAAAATTGTAGAATTGAAAGAACGACGTAAAAATTTTTGCCTCGAAAGTACAATAAAGTTGGCAAATATTTCATGATCTTTATTATCAGGTTGGTTAACTTTTGTCGCTCTTTAGAGCTATGAAAAATAAACTGACGCGATATCTATTTAGTTTGCTAAACTAAAGTTTCCGCGACGTTGAAGTTAACTTATTTCACGAAGTTCTTTCGGGAAGTTTGAAACGACATCCTTTGAAACCACCTCTTCTGAATGGTTTAGTTACCATTTGCGAGTTTTTATTAATTGGAGAAAAGGATCGAGTGAAAAGTTTTAAAACAATTATCGAATAATTTAAAAATTATATCAACGATCAAGAAATTACTAATTAGATAAAAAAAAAAATAAAAACGATGGAACGGAAAAATATCTCAAGAAAAGCTTGCTCATTCCAATACAATACATTGAAATTTCAATCATAACGAATTTTGCATCAAAGAAAAATCCAATCCTTCCCCGATAAATTTCACTTTTTTCCAAGATTTCTTCCAGATTCGGCTCAATTAACTTTCGAATCGCGTTCGACTTTAAACAATCCTTTAAAAAAGTGAAGAGAAAAATCCGTATCGATACGAAAGGCAAACGAGAGCCATCATTAACTGAAATAAGATCGTTCAACCGATTCCGAATTTCCGGGTAGAGGGAATAATTTAAAGAGCGGTGTATAGTTCGAAAAGTGGAGGATCATTCTCTCCCCCCTCCACCCCTCCATCTCCTAGGCACGTCTCTAAACCGGCTTTACCGGGAAGAAGAAAACTTTTTTCGAATTACGGGGCCGAAGTACGTACTTGGTCGTTGTAAATCTGCGGCGAGGGGGGTTGGAGGAGGGAAGAAATCCAGAACAAGAAGAAGAGGGTTGGAATCGAAAGGAGGATATTCAGCGTCCTCGAAACTTTCCTTTATTCGCCGTGCGACTGTGAGATAAGTGGGATGGAGATAGAACAGTACGGAGGATGATGAAAAAGGAGGATCGTTTTAAGAGAAACTAAGGAAAGAACGTGGATACAAGGGATGATTCGAGAAAGGCGTGAAATAATTTAAGAGCAAGGTTAAGAGCAAGCGCTCATTACGGTAAAGAAATCTATGTTTCGTTTGGAGGAAGTGAGTCTCAGAAATTGAATTTTCGCAAAGGGTAGTTTTCCCTTTTCTTTTTCACATTTTAATGCAAATTTGACATTTTTCGAAGAGAAAAGAGAAAAATGATTGTTTCGAATGGAATCTTTTCATATTACGATTTGTTTCTCGAATATTCTATTTCGAGTAAATAAAAGAATCTCATGTATTTCTTGTTAAATATTGTGATACGTTTAATTTTTCATATCGCATTGTTTGTGCAACAATTGGAAAGTTGGAGAAAAAAGCTTTGAAAAATATTCCTGTTTCCAAACTTTTTATCAGTAATCTCCATAAAAAAGATAGGGAAGAGTGGGAAAAAGGGGGGGGGAGGGAGGAACGAAAAAGAATCAAAGGATTGAAGAGAAAACTTTCAAATACAGATAGTAATATGAGAGACAATGTTACACGATATATATATTTTGTGGATATACAACTATTGATACTAGCAATGAATAGAAAGATATAGAGAAAATTTGGCAAGGGTACAGAAGAATGTCGAAAGACTGAAACGTGAATGTTTGGGAAAAAAAATTGTAAGTAAAAAAGAAAAGAAGAAAAAAAAGAAAGTATGGCATAGATCTGTTATCCGATGAAGTGTTGTGAGCAGATTCCTCTTTTGTTAAACTGGTAGAGCGAAAATTTGTTTCGTATTTTAAAGTGTGACGAACATTATATGACTTGTAGAATACTTATATATCTTACGATATATCTTTGATGAAATGTGGCATATTTTAAAATATAAATCGCGCAAAGCTTTAAAAAACTATGTAAAACAAATGTTATTCCATAATAAATATCATTACTCGAATTATCATTAAAACGTATTTTGATATTTTAATATTTTCTTGTAGAAAGGAGGAATTTTTTTCTGTTTTCAAAAATCTCAAAACTAATATTTAAATAAATTAAAATAATAAATTATAGATTTTCAATAAAATCATAAGTAATAAACGTATAAAGTTCATCCGAGTTCCAATAAACGAACTCGTATTTCACCTATATCAAATATAAAGAACTCTCGGAAACCGAAAGGGAAAATTTGGGGAAAGAAATAGAAAAGATTGAAGAACGGACGTTCCTTTGAAGAGAGGGAAAAAACGTAGAGCCTGAGACAATATTTGACGCGGGTGAAATAAGGAAAGGTATAGAAGAAATGAACCGGAAGATCCTCGTAAAATCGTTGAAAATACGAGTCGAAGACGAAAGACGAGTCTTGGGAAAGCGAGAGAGAACGAGAAACGGTAAAGAAATGGCAAAGAAGGACAGAGAGAAGATAAATGCGATAATTTAAGTTTTTCCATTTTGCGGGACACAGCGAGATGACCTCAAGATGAGACAGCGTCTGAAAGGATACACGCCAAATACCCTGAAGTGCAGCTGTCCGTTTACGTGAAACGTAAATCGTATCCTGGTTCTTGTGTCACAGTGACTATGAGAAACAGTGGAAGCAGGACTCACGGATGGCGAATTAAACAGACTTCGAATTACGTAACGGGACGTGTTTGCATACCATGATACAAGGAGACATACGGTCGAAAATTAATTCTGAAATACCGTGGCTGAATCGTGATAAACGTTGATGCAACGCTCCTTGAGCTTTCTATAAATTAGATTTGCTTAGATGGATTACGCATACTTGGAATGGAAACTGGGATGAAAGGAATTTTATTCGATTTTGTCATGTTTGGAGTTGCTTTTGTTTTATTTTTAGTTTGTTAAAGTAAATACTTATTAGTTTATAATGATTTTATTCCACGCTATTTAGAATAGATTAATAATTTATCGTCCAACAAGATAGAATATATATATATATAATATTATGAATTTTGCATATACCGTATTATTGAAAATAATATAATATAAAATATTATCATAGTCTTTCATTTAATTAATATAATATTCATTTATTATTATTTATATTATATATATATTTATAATATAAAAAAATTTAAAAAAATATTTTGAGGTTATATAATTGTACATGCTATATATAATTGTATATATTGTATACTGAATCGATTACGTAAAATATTTATTGAATGGAAATTCAATATTTGAATTACGATGAGAAGTTTTTGTTACATTTCAAGTTTGTTAAAAATTTTAAATAAATAATAAATTTAATGAGGTAAAAAGATCGATATTTAATATTTATAAATTTTACAATTATTTATGATAATTTATTTTATGTACTTTTATCGTGTATAAAATTCAATAATACGGTATATAATGTAAAAATTTACTATCATTATCATGAAATGAACAATTAATATTATACACTCACCATATTGAGAAAATATTTCAAGAATCTACAGTTTCATGTCCGCCATGATGATTGCCGTTTAACCGTTGACTTCGCAAGAAAATAGAAAACAGGATATTTGAGAAAATAAAAATATAGACACATTGTCCAACTGAATATTTTTTGACTGCACATTGTTGAAATCACTTTTTGAACAACAGCTTTTATCGTATCTTTTTCTTGTATATTATCTTTTCGATAGAATTTAAAATTTATACAGAAACTACGTAGTATCAAAATTTCTTTCAAATTTCCAATCGAGAACTTCAACTCATTTTCTATCTATCTATCACTTTATCGTACTTTATTACATTATATTTACTTCTATTTTTCACTAATATTATACATTTAATGGATGTTTTCAACATTTTCTTCACATTTTGATACAAATAATAAAATTTTGACGAAAAAATTATGGAACTGTCTAACACTCCCCACTAATACGCGATAAACTATCAAGGCATGCGCAGCGCCGTCTAATTCGTCAAATTAAAGTTTCGGCCGAAAATATCCGAAGATTTCCGAAGAATCCGAACTTCGGAAGTTTTCATGTAGCTTGAAGTGAGTGAAAGTGATTTGTTTAAATAATTATTAAGTGTTTGTTAAGTTTTTTTGACGTGTAAATATTATATAATTGCAGATGAATTAATCATAATCGGAATTAAAAGGTAATTATTTTAAATTATGCATATATTATTTATATTACAATCAAAGAAAATTTACATTATTGTAAGGTTATACATTTGACGATTGGATTAAGGTTATACGTTATAAATTTAAAAAATTTTTTTAAATTATATTATTATTATATTATAATTGGATTAGCAAAAAGCATAAAAAATTATAAGCAAATAACAATGAATCGATTCTTTAATATTATTGAAAAATTATTGAAAAATATTAGAGAAACGTGACGAACTTGCCTTGTTGACAATAGTTATACAATATTAAAAATATATTTTTGCGATATATTATATCATATAACATATACTGTCATTATAACATTTCATTTGTCACAAACATACATGGAACAATTTAAATTTTCATAATATCAAATATATATTTTGATTTTATAATATACGTATTTTGATTTCGAGCAATTCATATTAATAATTTTAATTCTAATGTGTCAATCATTTATAATAATAGTAACATATATAATTATTATATATTTATGTACAATTATTTGACTTAAAAATTAAATTTCTATACATTATATTCAATATGATAGTATTTAAGAAATATTAGTATGAATTATATGCAATTAATTTATAGAAAATAAAAAAAAATTATGTTAAATTTTTTATTATCACACATTAATTATATTATGAATTACATTAACTATATTTTAAAATGAAACATAAAATTTATGATAAAGATGTTATTTTTATCGTAATAAAAGCTAAATTGTTCTCGTAAATGTTCGCAAAATCCATGTCTGTATATTGTGGAAACCAACGATAAATCTTAGGACTAGGGATCCTATAAAGCTCGATGCAAAGGACTTCCCAGTATTTGGTCAAACCAGGGCGGACTTCCTTGTTTCTCCATCGAATTCCTTTTATTGCTGTCGTCCCGTTGAATTTCTCTCTCGTAATCTCTCTACTCCTAGGCATTGTTATCTCACAGTGAACCGTCGAATGTGTAACTTTAGAACCTAGTGCACGAGTTGTATCACCATAAACCCAGGAAAAATCATTATCCTCACAACTCCCATGGCGTGCATGTCTTGCTGCTTAACCAAACTATATTGTCCTTTAAAGCCCAGATCCACGAAACAGCATTTCTTAACTACTTAATTCACAACTACTGTAATATTTTTCAGCCACTTAATTGAATGAATTGTAAACGACGCCACACGGATTTCGTACACATTTCGAGGAAACTTGGAACAGATGATGAAGTATTTTGGATCCATGGAGGTTTCTTTGGGCATTATTTAATTCCATGTCCAGTTTTGAAGGTAAGATAATAAAGAAGCAGTTTATAATGCTTATAATATAATATCTGCTTGATATTTTGTACTTTGAATGAAGAGAATTATTTATAAGCACAAAGATGGAGGAAAGATCGGTGTTTCTTTTGTTTTATATATTATTAAAATGTTAAAGAAAGAAAGAAAGAAGGATCGGATCTTTTATATATTTTTCTTTACTTTTAAAGTTTGTTCATTTTAAGATTTTGTAATTAAGAATTCATCAGAATTTCATATTTATTTTTCAAAACTAAAGATTTTCTTCTTGAGTTTTTTCTTAAATTGCAAAAGTATAAATTTATTACAATTTACTTTTTCTATTAATAGAAAATCTCATTGATTATGTGAAATCAAATTTTTATTATTTTTTCAAATTTTCTATACAATTTGATTTGCATTTTTACAACAAGATAATATAGTATTAAAACTTCTATATTTTATATATTAAAATTATACCATTATAAATTATATTTAAAAATAAAACAAAAATAATACCGAACTTTTAAGGATTGATCTCACTTCTTATAAATGATATTTCATTTATAACAAAATTATTGTTCCATACATAATTACTATTACTCTACATATTCACAAACGTATCATATAAAACACAATTATAATTGATTTTGTTAACACAATTAAATTTCCATAAGCTGTACAAAGAATTCTGTGATCGACTGTACACGCTCGTCTCGTTTGCTCGAATTACAATGTACACAGCGATGCACATCGTAATTCATTACGATAAATTACAGGAACGGGAAAGAGCGTGAACCTGGGCTGAACAATATAATTCCAACCCAGGTCGTTTTCTTGCGCCGACGGTGCAACAACGTGAACGGGTTGCATTCGAAGTTTCTCCTTTATAACATCTCGCGGGGTGCTCGGCCGTAGAATCTCATTTTGTCGTTTAGCGTAAGTGCTCGTAAAATATGTTTTTTTACGAACAACCCACCCGTTTCGCGTACTTCGTTATTCTTTATCCTTCGTTTGATAACACAATTTTCTCTCTCTCTTTCTCTCTCTTTTTCTTTCTTTCGCTCATATATAATCCGTTTCTCTTTGTCGATTGTTTTTATAAATATGGATTGCACGTGATTGCAATCTTAGATGATGTGAAGATAGGATTAAGAAGATCAATGTAATGATTGCGTTTTTTCAAAGGTTATGATGATAAATGATAATATTATTTGTTGTAAATTGAGTCGAGTGATTGATATCGACACGTGCTTGAATGTCTTTTTTGTTCAATCAATTTGATTAATTAAACACTTTGATTAATTATTATATAATTGGAGGGTTTGGAATTCTCTTTAGAAATGATGTAGCGAGGATAAGGTTGGTATTTTCGAAGCTGATGTTGTTACATTGATGTAGTTAATATATTTTCGTAATGGATTTATGAAAAATAGCTTAAGAATTTCTATTTTAATGAAATTCTTTTGGTTTTTTTCTTTATAAATAATGCGAAGAGAGTGAGATTGTTTTTGAAGCTGATATTACTAGATGTTTTGACGTGAATAATATTTTTTTATCATCGGTACAAAGATGAAAAATAGCTTAAGAATTTCTAGCTAAATTTCTTTCTTTCAACGAGATTCTGATTGAATTTAAAATAAATAGATCTTTATATATAGAATTACGAATAACAATTACAATTATAAAAGAATATTTCTATTTGTTTCCAGTCGTTAATAAACAAGTATTTTAAATTGGTTTAACTTGAAAACAAAGTTTTGAAAAAAAAAAGAAGTTTAACTTACGACTAATTGAAATAAAATTTCAAAGAGAGTTTACAAAGTTTAGGGAATTATTAGAAATGATTTGAGTATTTATTTAAAGAATGTTAACACAGTACTTACTATTATTCTCGTTAAACTCTATTACAGAGAATTTGCTTGTAATTCGTTCCCAGTCCGTCAAACGTCAGAATAATGCTTTCTCCCTGAGCTACTCGATTCTCGTTATTTCATCGTCAGAAAAAGCTTCTGTAATACAGTTTCCTAAGTGAAAATCGATAGTAACCGAACTCAAATATTATGCAAATAGTGGAAGGAAAATAGATACAAGTTTTCTCTTTTATGAAAATTAACTTATCCGATGGAAACGTTGCAATTCTATTCTTTTTTCTTCTTCTTTTTTTTTTTTTTTTTAACTAATTTCATTAAATTTCAAATTTCAACGACCTAAACCGGTATTTAACACCGGTATTGAATTTCTCTCACGTTCGTTCCAACGAAATTTTAAAGAATTGTACGTCGTAACAATTATTTTCATCAATTATCTCTTTTTTCACAGAAATGAAACCAGCAGAAATTAATTAAGAATCTTCTTTGTTACTCGAGATTCGTATATTCGATATCAACGGGATCAAACGCGTACAGCAATAAATAGATTTAACGAGCGCGCAAGAATTTCAAACACGTATGATTCGATTAACGTTTGCAAGTCGAAATTTCGCGCGAGCGTTGTCAAAACACGGATGGAAGCCCGTTTTTTTTCTCTCCCTTTTTTTTTCTCCCCCTTCCTTTTTTTTATCTCCAAAAATTCTGGCTGCAACTTTGTCGACAATTACGAAAAATTAAATTGCTCGCAAATAAAAAATAAATAAAAAAGAAAGGCGCGACTTCTCGATGCGAGCGAATGTAAATTTATTATACGCGCAAAGGAAAAATATAGGAAACGAAAAAGAAAAGAAGAAAGAACAAACAAAAATAGATCGAGAGCGGAATAAAAACTGCGCGAGTAACGATCTGAATTGATTCGTCGATAACGATTTGCACGAAATATGCGGAAATTTCCTTAAATAGATTCTGATATTCGAACGAGGTGATATCGAGCTGTTTGGCGGGTGAAACGTTTCGCATCGAGGAACATTTACATTGATTAAAAAGTGGTTGAAATCGCGACATGGATGGACTCGATTTAACGCGATAAAAATATTTTAAACACTGGTTGGGGAAATTTATGGAATGTTTATGACGCGTACGTGCGCCAGTCTCGAAGATGCAATTTCTTTTTAAAGAATTTCCGTCATTTTTTCTCCGAGATGTGAACGCATTTCTTCATGTATATATATATAGCGTGGTTTTATTACACCGGAGGCACGAGTTTCTAAGAATAAAAGTCTATTTGCGTAGGAACAGTTATGTATTTCGATTAAATTTTTCCTTTTTT